TTTGGGAAGCAATTTTGACTTTCAGTGAGAAACAACCAAAAGAAATACGCATTGGCAAAGTAACAACAGTCTTTAAAAGCCTCAACAGACTATGGAGCTTCAGGTTATAGAGCTTTAACACCAAACTAAGAATTTTCAGTTTTAAAGTTATTTCAGTTCTAAGATATGCCAGCGAAAGTTGGAGAACTACCAAAGATATGGAACGAAAGTTACATGCCATCGAAGATAAATGTCTAGGAAAAATCAAGAACATAAAATAAGATGGTTTTTTTTAAGTGAGGATATCATAGACATGTCTTGACAAATACCTGTATCGACAGCTATAAGACAAAAAAGGTGGAAACCTCTGAGACAAAATGAGCATAGAATGACCAAACACACATTGTAATCTGTATTAATAAAAATGTTAATTTTCCGAGTTTGTTAAATATAGTCTCGGACACTACTGAACTATTGCTTTCAATTTTTCACACAACGTTGCCTTTGACTCAAAACATGTTTTTTTTTTTTTTTTTTTTTTTTTTGGGGGGGTCATAAAATCACACGAACCACGAACGACGTAGCTCCAACAACGGTCAAATCATTATTTGTTTCGTTGCCGGCCCGGATTTGTTTTTAGTTGATTGGCCACCTTTGACTGCTGAGCAGGGTTACCAATAGATTCCTTTTCCCCCAGGATCAATCTCCAACATTACTTTATCGATCGCTTTCAAATTCTCACACAACTTTGCTGTTGCGCGCTGATTTGGGTAAAGTGTGATATTGTGTGAAGGGACAGTGGTATGCAAGTACTTTCTGTGAGTTCACGGGGCAATAGTGTCAACATGGTCCGAGTATTGAGAGGAGACCAGTGAAAATGTCTATTCATGAACAAGGCGTGCACGCACGAGAGAAAGTAGACGCGTGGGTTACTGTGTGGGGGCTGAAAGCATGGATAACGAGATAAAGTGTGAATTAAGTGACAGTGTGATTCTCAGGTAACATCAGCCACCCACATAAGTGTGATCCTCGAAAACGCCCACACGAGCGTGAGTCCCGAGAACACCCACGGGATCAGGAGTCCCGAGAACGACCATACAAGCGTGCCTCTCGTGTAATCATCATCCACCTACACGGATTTGAGGGGAATAAATTAGAGGGCTGAGGGGCAATCGAGAGGCAGTCGAGAGAGAAGCGAGAGAGAAGCGAGAGAGAAGCGAGAGAGAGAGAGAGAGAGAGAGTTAGAGAGAGAGAGTTAGAGAGAGAGTTAGAGAGAGAGAGAGAGAGAGAGAGAGAGAGAGAGAGAGAGAGAGAGAGAGAGAGAGAGAGAGAGAGAGAGAGACCGTGATATCTCTCGCGAGTCTAACAGACAAGAATACCGTACGACTATCGGGCATTTAGGTCTGAGTGAGTGTTGAAGTTGCGGTACTGAAGAAGATATGGTCCCGCTGGCAAAGTAAGTCCAGGGGACGGAAGGCTCCAGTAGTACCTGTTCTGGGTGGCGACGTAGTGAAACGTAGGAGGACCACTACTAAAACAGAACGGGGGGGGGGGGGGGGGGAGTGGTACCGACGAGAGCTGTGTGCTAGAGGGGACTAATGGTAGAAGTCCTGTCAGTCATCAGAGCCCTACGACAAGCTGACGACAGCTGTCTGTTTCTCGGAGTACGGCCAGGAAAGTCCTCTCCAGTCAGCCGTGTTATATGCTGAAAAAATATCAAGGTCCAGGGAATGGGAGAATTCGTCCTGTTCAGCTGTACGGCGCGTCCAGAGTGTGGGACGCTGTAGTCCTTGGAGCTGTAGTAGTCAAGGAGAGGTCGCTACAAATTGAAAGAGAGAGAGCGAGTGAGGACAAATGGACAATGTGCGAATGTCAACTGTGATCAATAACTTCGTCTCTGCATTTGTGTCATGTACCCTGTTAAATAAAAATGTATGACGGTGTCATAGTCGTCGAGTTCTATTTCTAAGAGAGGAAGCTAAAGGGTACCTGCTAGACACTTGGTAGTGTGCTGACTAGTGGTAACTCATTTAGCACACAACAGTTACCTTAAACTCCGCGCCTGTTTGTATGTGTGTGGTTTGCACAAACCACGAATGACGTAGCTCCAGCAAAGATTATTTTATTAGTGGTTTTATTGCTGGCGCGGATTTGTCTTTAGTTGTTTGCCCCCTTTGAATCTGTGTGCAACACCGAACTTCACCTTATTATATAATTCATTTCTACTAAATGCTAGAATAGTTGTTAGCGTAGTTAGTTGTAAGAATTTCGCCTTTCACGCGATAGGCGTTCGATTCCTCACTGGATGATATAAAAAAATTTGTGGGCCCCTAACTGAGTGGCTACCGGTGTTTGTTTGTTTTTTTTTTGGTTTATAGCTAGGCTGCAATATCTACGCCTTTTTTCCCACTCGATTTTGGGGTTTACAGCTAGCCTGCGATAGCGGCGACGTGATACTCAATGTTCATGTCACGGGTAATATTCGCTCGCCCTTGAGAGGGTGGTTGGCACGTTGTCTTGTGGTTTACAGCTAGGCTGCGATATCTGACCTAAAGTCCTTAGTCTTTGAAAGTAGAGATGTAAGTATTCCGCCCTTCACCTGGATGACCGGTGTTCGATTCCCCGCTAGGTCCTAATTTTTCTTTTTCCTCTAAAGGGGCGGTTAGCACGTTGTGTTGTGGTTTACGGCTAGGTTGCGATATCTGCGCCTTAGCCCAGAGACATCCGATTTCAGTAAAGTCCAAATTAGCCTCCCCCCGACGCTTCACTCGATCAAAAACTATTCGTTGATGACTGAAACTGTTAACTAAGACGGCTTACGGTCCAGTTTGGTTTGGGTCGACACGGATACCAAGGTTAATTAAAAATCGTCCTTTCGAAGAGGGAGAGATGACGAGTGAGGGTTTTTATTTCCGCTATTTGTGAGTATAGTGTACTGTTTTTTTTTTTTTAATCACGGAATATTACTGTGGGTTCCACCACTGGTTAGGTGATGGATTTTTATGTCGGGGGCACACTTAAACTAAACAGTCCGTTGTGACAGCATGCGGCGCTAACTCCCTGGTTACAACGACCTGTACAGACAGTAGAGACCGTTTTGTATTGTTGTTGTTGTTGTGAAGATGATGGTGGTAGTGGTAGCAGTAGTACTGGTACTTGATTGGGTGATGTGGTAGCTGTTACACTGGGCATATTTACTTCTCAGTACAGCTTAATGCTACCCATTTTAGTCTGGGTGGACACGGATGCCAAGCTCATTTTAACAATATTTCGTCAGGCAATGACTTTCCTATACTTCGTAGAGGATGATATGATTGTCACGGAGGGGGTGTTCGGGGATGGTGCCAGACACTGATAACTGAGAGAGCTTAAAATATTATTTTAAAGTTCTCATTTCTTAACTATTTTTATTTTAACAATGTCGCGACGTGATAATTATTTAATCATTCTGAGAGGGAGATACAATTGGGGAAGAAAGAGGGGGTAGGGGGGTTATGACAGACACTGTTAGCTAAGAGAGCTTATAACTTTATTTTACAGTTCTCATTTCTTACATATTTATATTTTAATACCGCTTCCTCAGCTATTTTTCATTTTTTTTTCTTGTGTGCCAGTTTGTTGGTCAGTTAAGCACAAAAGATGCTTTAGCCTCGATAAACAAATAATCCTTTTCTCTTTCTTTCTCTCTCTCCCTCTCCCTGTCTCTCTCTCCCCCTCTCTAACAGTGCACTTTATTCGACCACTAATATCGACATTCACTGATATGTTGCGTGTTCTAGAGTTGGCATTTCAGACTATCTCTGTAGCTGTGCAATGACTGATATTAACCATATTAGACAGGTGCGCTTTCTATTTTCTTTATTTTCCAGTTTACCATTCTGGACCACAGCAACGCGTGGCCGGGTACAGCTAGTGGAAAATAAATGGTCTGAAAAAAAAGAGGACCTCCACATTAAACATTAAGAAAAACATTATTACGAGAAGCTAAAACCGCGAAGCTGAACTCCGCGTCAGAAAATGAGAGTTGCGCGCTGCAGATCGGAGTGGAGAATCGAATGCCAGTAATATGTCCTGCAACTTCCTCTAATTACTTTGCTTGTGAGTCCCAGTCACCTAGTGTAGCCTTTTAGCCCCCCCCTCCCCCCCCCCCCCCCCAAGGGGCGAGTTTAATCGCGTTTTGCGCATGCCGACAAGTCTGACATCTACCGCTGCTAAATCCTCAATCGGCAGAACAGTATTGCCAATCTGCGTGGGAGCACGTGGTCTACCCGCCATATCGCTTTCATCGTCTGTAATGTCTCGTAATTGTCAACGGTCATTTTTATCGTCTGCTAGTATCGTCTGCAAAAACGCTCGACATTGTCACCGGTCGCTTTTATCGTCTGCTACTGTCGTCTGCAATGTTGAGTCTCTTGAAATTGTCAAGTAATCCTAGTTTTGCAGCAATTTGTTCCTTGGCAGAAAGTCCGCATTTTTCATTGGACTGAGCCCCGAACGGATATTTCAGGCCGCTATAATGTGGCGGTAGAAGTTCGGAGAAGAGCCCAGAACATTGCAGAACCAACGCCAGTATTTGTTTGGCTGTTGTGGTTTTTCTAGGCAAATTTACGTCTAGTAGTTTGACATTGCTTTCTGGACGGTCGGCTTCTCGATACCACTGTCGAAACCGAAACGTAAGGCCCGCAGCTGGGATCGAACCCGGCATCCCAGCATTACGAAGCGCGTTCGCAATGCCGAAGTCGCAGACGCCGAAATTGTGTAGAAAAGCCAGAGAAAAAATCCAAACAATCTAAAAAAAAAAAAAACGCCAGCTCATCGTCTTAAGCCAATTTTTTTCAGATAAGCCAAACTTGCAGAATCTGGCGTAGAAAAAGTTAATTTGGCAACCCTGCCGAAAAAGCACATTCCTAAAATATCAAAAAAGGTTTTCACGACACGTTCAGATGATAACATACCGGAAGCGGAAATCTCACCCCATTTGAAGGGAGGACACTCCAAACTCCAAAGGTTCACCTATCAAGATGGCATCTTCTCACGCTGAATACAAAACCCCTCTGGCTTCGCGATATGCGAGCCAGGAAATGAAGGAGAATTTTGGGGATTTAAAAAAATTTTCAACGTGGAGAAGACTGTGGCTTTACCTTGCTAAAGCAGAAAAAGTAAGTTAGACTGAATGAAATTTATTTTGCGTTTTTACATATGAAACCATCATAGCTAGATAGCGACAGGCTATCCTCCGAATAACGGTCCTAAATTATCGAGGCGGAAAATACGCCCTAACAGGGCCCCAGTCGCTTGCATACTTTCGTCTTCTTAAATTGCGCACTTCTGCCACCGCCAAGAGTATTCCCCACGCGGCGTGGATTGGGACTAAACTAGATCAACTAAATGGCTGGGACTCGCTAGCAGCAGCCACAGCTAACGCATATCCTGCAGCTTCCTTCATTTTATTTGCTCGTGACTCCTAGTAGTCCTAGCCATCTAGTTTACCTCCAGATACTCTCGGCGGTATAGTCCTCGGAAGTTCGCAATTCGGCGGTGGCATTATAGTCCCTGGAAGTTCGCAATTGACACGTGACTGAGGCCTTATTAGGGTATATTTTCCACCTCGATAATTTAGTACTGTTATTCGGAGGATAGCCATGATTTGATAAAAATTGCAAATATAACCAATGGTACCTCAGTGAAGCCTCTAAGTCAAATCTAAACCAAAATTTTAACATTTTAGTGGCGGATACTAAATTAGAATTTAGACAAATTATAGTGGAAACTGGCAAAAGATGGACTGGCCTATTAAGATAAAATGACTAAATGTTTGCATTTTTTTTCAATAACTATTTTGTTTTTGAGCTAATCTCTTAGCAACTGTATTATATTGCTGGAATCGGGACAGGGAGACCCAACTGTAAATGCATGTCTTAAAAACATACAGTACAAGTACAATATGCACCCAATTAACATGAAAATGACTGCCAGCTGACTATTTTCAAGCAAAACAATTAATTATACATTTATTGTTATCTGCCAACGAGCCTGGCAAGATGCATATCATATCATATAAAATTGTGCGTCCCGACAAGTCAACCACAAGAATCATAAAAATACGCTCATGTCAGTTGATGTGGCCTATATAAACATGACCACCAATTCTTTTTTTCAGCAAAAACATCACACATTTATAGTTGTCTGCCAGCGAGCCTGGCAAGATGCATTTTAAATTGTGCGTCCTGACAAGGTGAAAATAAGAATCATAAAAATGTGCTAATGTCAGTTCTTCTTCTGCCTTTCTATTCCCCAAATGGAGCATAGGCCCCCAACCAACTGACCAACTTACGCCAAGTCGTTCTATCCTTCGTCATTACATGGAGCCCTTCCTGTGTCCTCCCCGTCTTTCTAACATCATTCTCCAGCTCTCTTCTACATGTGTTTTTAGTTTTTTGGCCTTCCTTTATTCCTATGCCCCTGTGGGTTCCAATGCAAAGACATTATATTTATGCTGTTTTCCTGTTTTCTCAGTGTGTCCAACGCCAGCGTCTTTTCCTCACCTCTTGGTCCACTGTAGCCTAAGTTCTCTCCCAAAGCTCTACATTAGTTATTCTATCAAACCGTTTAATTCCCTCTATTTTTCGCAGGCACCAGTTAATGAATGTCTGTAATTTATTAGTAATTGCCTTAGTTGTTCTCCATGTTTCTGCTATAAAAGCTTCTCTTGCCATTTGTATTCTTATTTTAATATCTCTATCTGTTCCTTCATCTTTATCTACATTACTGCCCAAATAGGTGTATGACTCCACATCTTGGAGTTGGGTGCCATTGAGAGAAACCACATTACTATTTGCCTGATTTATTCTCATTATCTTTGTCTTTCCTTTATGGATTTTCAGACCAAGCTGCTGTGATCTCCTATCAAGTATATTTAATTTATCTTGTGTCTGATTTTGTGAATGGGACAGAAGAGAAATATCATCAGCGAAGTTCAGATCATGATCATCAGGCTGTTTTGTGGGGGTCCACTGAATTCCATTCTTGATGTTAGCAGTTACTGTTTTCATAATTCAGTCTATAGCCGGTAAAATAAGAGAGGCGACAAAAGACATCCCTGTCGCACACCTGTTTTTATTTCAAACTAACTGTACCCGGCCACGCTTTGCTGTGGCATAGTTTAGCTAAATGGAAATGAAAGAAAATAGAAATCGCACGTGTCTAATATGGTTACTGTCGCAATCATTGTCTGCGCACATACAGAGATAGTCTTTGATGCCCTCCCCTCTTCCCAAATCCACCTACTACTCGCTCCCTCATCAAAGGCTTTTGGAAAAGAAAGACAATAGAAATCGCATGTGTCTAATATAGTTAATGTCGCAATCATTCTCTGCACAGATATAGAGATAGTCTGCTTTGCCGACTTTAGAACACGCAACATATAATTGTGTCTTTATATTAGTGGTCGTTTAAATGGTATTATTAGCACAGTAAAAAAAAATTATTTGGTTATCACATGCTAAAGCTGTTTGTATTTTTTGAGAGACGGAAGTAAAGCTTACTACTGTACTTGTAAATAACCAAGAAAGTCGTTAAAAAAATGAGAATAGCGAAGGTAGTGTTAGTAAAATATAAACAAATTAGGAAATGAAAACTTTAAAATCATGCGTTAATATCTTTAAGTTAACAATTTCTGTCATCACCCCCTCCCCTCCCCCATCCACCGACTACTGCTCTCTCCCTCATCGAAGTATTTGAAAGTCATCACCCGAAAATATTTTTGTGACTGACCTTGATACCCCATCCGGATTAAAATAAGGAGCAGGAATTGTAATGAGTAGTAAATGAAGCTAGTGTAATATTTACCACACTATCCTTCATGTACCAGTACAACTACTACCACCTAGACAATAGCTAAAATAATGTCACTGCTATCTGTTTTACCATCGGAATAGACAGTGTCGTGAGCCAGAAGATTTGGCGGCTAATGCTGCCGGCACAGACTGGTCAGGTTAGAATGTGTAATTTTGCTCCCCGACAGAAAAACGCCATCACCTTACCGGCGGTCCCCGGCCTGACAGCACTGTAACCGCCCAACCACAACTACTACTACTGCTGCTACTTTGAGTTGGTAAGGCAGTTACTGTGACTTAAAGCTCTCTCAGTTAACAGTTTATGTTACCCCTCTTCTCTTTCCCAATTCACTGACTACTCTTTCCTTCATCGAAGTAGTTAGGGGGAAAAAATTATGTGAAATGCAACGAAAACAGGAAAAATACACAATAATTATGAAATGAACGCTATGATAAACAACACAGCCTAATTCCAGTGCGATGTCAAAAGAAATAATTAAATTGAAATGAAAATAAATGGTGATCTATGAAAATTCAGTGTAGCCATGCACCTGGAAAATTTGAATTGAAATCATAAGTATGCGAAATGGTCAAATTTAATTATCAACTGGTTTACCCACATACCTGTACTTTCTTTTTTTTTTAATAGTATTTATGGCCACATGGCTAGTGCTGTCGCCACGACAGTGCAGGTCTGGGTTTTGTTTTGCCCCAGGTAAATTTAAAAAAAAACTGCCGTACTGGGGATTCGAATCCTAGTCTCCCGCACGAGAACCCAGTGTACTAACCATTCGGCCAGCCAACCACCCCTTCTGTGAACGAAAAGAGAACAAAACTATTTAAGATCTGTGTCCCGACTCTTACACAACTTAAAACCGCAAGCAATTGTTTTCTCATAAACAGATATCCCAGATATAAACTTATTGAAACGCCACAATAATAGAAATTGTACATGTTTAACACGGTAAATGTCGCAATCATTGTCTGCGCAGACATAGTTTTTGATTGCCTCCTCCCCTTTCTCAAATACACCGACTACTCTCTAAGTAATCGAAGGTTGTTTAAAAAGAAAGAAAATAGAAATCATGTCTAATATGGTTAACATCACAATCAGCGATATAGAGATAGTCTGTTTTGCTGTACCACTCCGGCGAATGGTGGAAGTCGTTCGTTCCGACTACTGCGCATGCGCATTTACGAACGTGGCTTTCATTAAATGTCACTAAAATGAAAATATTAGTTAAGAAAATTTTCCCTACAAATGTCGTCACCTATCTCTAATGACAGGTATAATTTCAAACCATGACAGGTAAAAATCCGGTATCAAAACAAACATATCCTGAAAATTTAAGCTAAATCGGTTCAGTTGTTTCGGAGTCTTTAGGTAATAAACAAACACACAAACATTGATTTATATATATATAGATGTATCTGTTAGCTTTCCCTCATAAAGAACTTGACATTTCATGTCTGTGTTGCCTTTACTAAGTTAAAATTTTCTGTAGGATTCCAGTGTCCCATCAATTTCTAAGGAGATTCCCTATCAATGCTGTCAAATGCTTTCACAACCAATGTAAATGTCAGTTGACCTGACCTATTTTACATTTAAAAAATGGCTGTCACCTGACTACTTTTCAGCAGAAACCTCACAAATTTATGGTTGTCTGGCGAGTTGTGCACTTGAACCCACAGGGGCATAGAAATAAAGAAAGACTATAAAAAACGCAAGAAGAAGGGAGCTAGAGTGAGGATTAAAATTATGACGCTGAGAGTTGCATGCAATAGCCATGAAAATAACGACATGAGTTGATTGAACCCCTATGGCCCATAAGACTGAAGAAAAAGACACAAGGTGACAATATGTTTTTAACCAAGATTCAAAACTGATATAGAAATGGTATGAATGTGGATGTCTCCACAACACGCAGCACTTAGCAGTGTCAACTAGTCATGATGCCACAGTGACAACCAAATAATACTGTGCATACATTAGGGACAACAGTAAATAGCACCGGTGTTCTTACATTTAAGAATAAAATTGTGAATGGCATATGATATGTAGATATATAGACAGATAGTGAAAAGCATGGATGGGCTATCCTCCGCATTATGGCAGCCAAAAAACCCACCCTAAGAGGGCCCCAGTCACATGTAAATTGCTGATTTCTTTCTGGCGAATATATGGCAAAAGTATGGTATATTTCCGGCAATAATGTCGCAAAATGCAATAAATCGGCAAGTTAAACTCGGCGCCGCTACACGAGGAGTGGGGCTAGACCAGATGGCCGGGACTCGGCGAGCAGCAGCTACCGCATCGTGCAGCTTAATTTTATTTGCATTTGAGTCCCAGCCATCTAGTTTAGCCGCTCGTAGTGGTGCGGGGATACTAGCTGTGCCTTGTTCCCATCATATTTAGCCGAGTTTCAATGGCGCCACAAAGTGCAGATTTTCTGGCACTATTTGCAACTTCTGTGCCACAATTTTCAGACATAAAGGCCTCAGTTATTGCTAAGTAGTTGATTTCGACATTTTTCTTTTTTCCTGTCCTGATTATTTTCGAGTTTTTTTCCCCCAATGTTTTCATCACACAACCTAATGAGGCTATGTCAGAGTGTTTTTGGCCGTCATAATATGTGGCTGTTATTAGGAGGATAGCCCATGGATGAATAATATACTGTGGCCATATCAAACACCACGACAGATAAGAAACAATCATAGCAGAAGGCATGGTACGGTATCAGGAAAGGGCTGAGTAGCACAAGGACTGTGATGAGAGTGACATTTTGCAAAGGACCTCCTACAACATAATTAATGTTGTGAAAGACTACTGTTGGTTGAGATAATAGTAATAAATATTAAACACATGACATTAAGTTGATATAGATTATGTTTTTCAACCTCCCTAGTCTTTGAAGTTCTTTGCTCCAGATATCCCCTGCCTCAATTCTCTACACCAGCTTTTTGGTCTGACCAGAGGTTTAGTTTGTCTCACTGAAAATAGATCATGTTGAGTATTTATAAGTTTAATCAGTAATATGCTTTTATGCAAGCATCTTATTATACAATAGGTTATTGTCCATGTATATTTCTAATCACTTGTCATTAATTAGCGCATGGATTTTCATTTACAAGTTTGGCCATTTTTTTCTATGTGAACAGGCACTGGGTTTGGAGATTACAGATGCTCAAATTGAAGAGCTGGAAAATAATTTAGAGAATATCGACTTCAAGATGGCGGCCGTAGAAGAGAAAAAGTTCCGCCATGATGTTATGGCCCATGTTCATACTTTTGGTGCTGTTTGCCCCAAAGCAGCTTCAATCATTCATCTTGGAGCAACATCATGTTATGTAGGGGACAACACGGTTAGTCTGTTTGCTATTCTTATCAAGTATTATGTTTTCTGGGACTTTCAGGTGGTTCTTTATTAGCTTATTCTGTAGCATTTTAGGGGGCATGGGGAAACTGCCATATGGAGCTTTCCACGAATTAGTCTATAGTTAGTCAAAGCTGGGTTATGATGGTGTGGTCTATTTAGAAAATTTAACATGAAGGTAAAATCATGAAAAGCACCAATCATTAGTGTATTGCTGGTCAGGTAATAAGCAGAACAGTTGAGGGGATCACCATTATTCTATTCTGTGCTGGTAAATAAAGGCAGCATAGTTATCCATTTCACAAGATCTGTATGCCATATGGCTGAACCATCAATATATTTATCACATTGATTTGTTTTGCTACTTTGTCAAGTTTAATAAGTCGTTTTGTTTTTTGCCCAAAAAAAAAACCTAAATTATCTAAATTATGTTGGCTGCCTTTACTTCCTATAGTATCCTGCTGTCCATATTGTGCCGATTCTTATGCCTCCATCCTGCTTTTTATGGCTTTTGGCCATCCAATTTCTTCAAACCTCTGGGTGGTTACCTTTTTAACAAAATGCTTGTTAGGGCCTTAGTGGGTCTGTTTTGAATGAAAGAGACAGAGGCTGACTGAGAAATCATTCTGATTGGTCTGACCTAGTTGCATGGAGAAGTATCAATAAAATATATTTGGGATGATAAACCACATGCTGTTGTACGCAGCAGTCTCTCTAGAAGCGGACACAACCAGGACTTTCTACTAGAGTTTAACGCTGAAAAACACAAAGTAAAAGAATATATCCAGAACACCAATGGATGTGGAGAGGCCAGTACCTGTAATTTACGTTGTGATATTGATGATGAGTAATAACAAGTTAGCCTTGTTGACATGAAATATTTTTGGCATTTCGATTAACATGTTTTTATTTTTGTTTTTCAGGATTTAATAGTTCTTCGTGATGGGCTCAAGATTTTAATTCCAAAGGTATTTATAGTTTGTACGTTGATTTGAATGACACATTTCTTGGAGGGGGGGGTTGGGGAGGAATGAAATCAGCATTATTACTTACAGGGCACATTGCCCCTATTATCAGAAGCTGGTGTTTCCTTATAACCTGCATATTCTTCTGCCCCTTTGCCACCCATTGGAGCTTAGCTATCAGCCAAATCATTATGAATTTTATCATTTTTAAGCTGCCTTTTCTAGCCCTCCCTTCTGCCAGTGTTTTTGATCTACTTTTATTTTTATATCCTTGAGGATTCCGGTGCAGAGACATTTTAGTTTAAGGTTTTCTTATTGTGTGTCCTTTCCAGTGCTGCTGTATTTTCTTTACCTCTTGCTCACCAGAATTTCCTTAGTTCTCTCTAAAAGTTGCAGAATAGTGATTCTGTCATATCTTTTAATTTCCTCTGTTCTGTGTGGGCACCACTTATTGAATGTTTAGTTTATTTTTTGCCTGTGTATAGTTAGACCTAATTGATGTGATCACTCATCATGTTAGATTTTATTTTGCATCTAATTTTGTGAGCAGTGAATGTGAGAAATGTCATCAGCAAACTCTAGATAATCAAACTGTTTTGTACTGAATTCCATACCTGGTGTTAGCTGTTGCTGTCCTTATTATAGTCCAGTCTGTTGTGAGTAAAAATAGTAGAGGTGACGGGTATCTCTAACCTTCTGTTTAATAAAATGCACTGTGTGTGTTTTTTCTCTCTCCAGCTTGCATCGTGTCTGGATCAGCTGTGTAAATTTGCTTTGGAGAACAAAGCCCTTCCATGTCTTTCTTACACACACCTACAGTAAGTAAATATTTCTTCAGCTGTGTCTATAGTTTGAATAAAGAGGACGCACATTGTTCAGTTTATTGCTTGGCATATTTCACTGTATCTCATGAGATACATTACTACAGAAACAAATTAGTCAGCTGAAGCAAAAAATGATTCATGTACAAATATAATACCAAATCAACCACTCTTGAAAGTAACTGCCTGTTTTACAGCGAAATATGCCAGAGGGTAAATTGTAGTTTATTTGTCTTTGTTCAGTGTTGCTTTAGCCTTTCTTGTGTTGTGTATGCACACTGATAATATTTTCTCATGTTGTGCATTACTGAGGTCTACAAGATAAGCCAAGAATAGTAACACACATGGAGGTGGAATCATACCCAGTTAGTGGCATATACAAATATAGGAAACAAACATAAAATTAAGAATATTTTAAACAACTCTCAAAAAAAAAAAAAATCTAACCTCTAACGTAGATTGTTGAAATGTAAATCCAAATAATTATTGCTGCATGGAACCAAACCATTAAAAAAAAAAACTAAATAATTGCACATAAATATTTATCTGGTGCCTGCGTGGAATAAAAGGTTGGTATGGCAGGATCACTAGTCCAAGGCTTATGAAAAGTAAAACAAATTCCAGGAAATAGCTGATAAGGAATATATGTTTTACACTTGATAGGAAACGTAATGATAAAATATTTTAATAGTATAGCTAGAAAATCCTTTCTCTAGAACACACAAAGCAACACAGAGGCAGGCCTAGAATCACATTAAGACTAGAATTAGAGGTGAATAATATACAGACAATTGGAAGGAGATGGCATAATTTATGGTGACTTTGAAATCGGTTAGTTTTGGTCTGTGCTCATTGGGGGATACAAAATGTTAAATTTTTGTTGAATTTTTTATTAGGTTACTCTACATTGAAAATTACCACCTGCGAGATGAGGTGCCTGAGAAAAGCAGCCAACCTAACCATCTGAGATCGAGTGAATAATGAAACTATCAGGCAAATTGTGGGAACAACACCTTGTACTAGATTCATCGAGAAACAGCAGATCAAGTGGTTTGGCCATCTCGTTAGAATGCAGCAAGATCAAATACCATCACAAGCACTACATCTCAGAAGATCAACTACAAGAGCAAGAGGACGGCCGCGAAAAACATGGATCGACAACATTAAAGACACTCTACGCCTTCACGGCATGACAATAGCCAGTGGCAGCCAACGGGCACTGGATCGCAAATTATTCCTCCCCACGACGCTTAACGGCAGAAGTGGTTCATGATGGTGATGATGATGACTCTACATTGAATCTATCCAAATCTTGTTTAGTAGCAGAGCTTTTAGCTTGTAGACCCAGAGCAGTTTCTGATCCTCATTAGATAAGTGAACCATTTACTTATTACCTTTATCTGACTACTGTGATAAAAGAATATTTATACGGAGAACAACCAGAACTTTCTGTCAGAGTTTATAGCTGGTGAGCACAAGAGCAACATTTGCATTTTCAACTATGTGTTTCGGTATGTCTTTATTTCAAAGACTGGGTTCCACTACAGGGACATTCTAATTGTATAATAAGTTGAGTTCTGAACCGACATACCAGCACTCGGGACATTCCTTTTACTGCTCAGTTCCAGTCTTTAGTTGCCAAGAGTATCAGTTCTGCTGATGTTACCAATAGCAATTGTATTATATGTCCATTCACCTTTTTTTCCTGAGTGTTGAGTGACATCCAGATTCCCTGGTCATTACTGGCTGCACCTTTTTCTTCAGACCTTGATCTTTTTGTGCCACCGCATGTTCAGTTGCTCTTGAAGGGTACAACTCACCTGCATTTCCTGGAGAAACTCATATAATCATGGTTTCTATCTTAATTCATTAACATCAGTAATTGATAAACCTGTTTTTGATTGTTCCTGTCTGTTTTATTTTTAGAGCAGCCCAAGTGTCGACAGTTGGTAAACGTGCTTGTATCTGGGCACAAGACTTGCTGATGGATCTAAAAAACCTAGAAAGGGTTTTGGATGAGCTGAGATTTAGGGGGGTGAAAGGAACAACTGGCACACAGGCCAGCTTTTTGACCTTGTTCGAGGGAGATGCCAGCAAGGTTGAAGAGCTCGACAGTTTGGTGACTGAAATGGCAGGTTTTAAAAGGTAGGCTATTTTCAAGTATTCTATAAGTCAAGTTAAAAGTACTATCAGTTCATCTCTCCCTCCCCCCTCTATTTTTCCCCTGTGTAGGTTCGGGGTTTCCATTGTAAGGAAATCAAGAATAGACCCACAGCTTTCCCAAAAAGCATGTCATAGGAGTCGACTAATTGGGGTGCTTCCTTTGAAGTCGCAGTGCATCTGCCAGAGCAGCAGAGAACAATTAACTGCACACAGAAAAGCTAAAGACCCGATGGACAAACACAGTGAATTTTCGATTACAGCCGGTGAACAAAGAAGAAGTATTTTTTGTTTTAAATTATGAAATTTATGTTTATATTATTCCAGACAGTGAATTTAGTTTGTCTTTTTTTTATGACTCCGGCATAATGCTGACCACATTACCCGCCTAGTGCCGATTGGTCTGTAAAAATATGGGTACTCTTCCCATATGCCTGATGCGCCTAAAGGCCTGAAAAGGGATCCTTAATTTACTTTATTCATGTCCATATTAATCTCCAATATTTTCTTGAGAAATGACACTTCTTTAGCTCATGCTGAAAAAAACAAAATAAGAATAGAAACAATAAGAAAATAAATTGCTTTCATGTGGCTTGCAATCTAAAAAGTTAAGCATTGTGTTCATTTCTTTGACAATGCATTTCTCTTGCACTAAACTGTTTTTTTTTTTTTCATTTTTCAGCCACTTTATCATTTGCGGGCAGACATACCCAAGGAAGGTCGACACAGAAATTGTGTCAGTACTTTCCAGTTTTGGAGCATCAGTGCATAAGGTTAGAATACTTTCATTTGATTGTGTTATATTTCCATTATCTCTGAGCCTCACTTTGTAATGATTTTATTTCTAAATCTCTGTTTAGTGTAAGGTCAGGATTTTATTTCTAAAGCTCTGTTAGTGTGAAGTCAGGATTTTATTTCTAAAGCTCTGTTAGTGTAACGTCAGGATTTTATTTCTAAATCTTTGTTAGTGTAAAGTCATCTTTGTCTTTTTAACCCCTTAGCACAGTAGTGCTGCTCATCTGCATCACCATCAGTTACAAATCCCTGTAAATACCACTAAACCAGCATTGCTGTATTGGCTTTTCCCTAGAAGACTAGTTGGTGTAATGGTGAGAGGATGAACTTCATTGCACATGGTTTTATCCCATATGGCTCAGTATCTCTACTCAGAACAGCTGCCTGCTGAGAGCGTTGCACATAGCATGCTCTCCGTAGTTCCAGCAAGATCCTTAGGGATCTTAATTAAAATGCACATGTGAATTAAATGGCGCTGCCACTAAACGAACCCACAACCTTCAAAGGGCGTGGCAAATGGCTTGACCACTTAGTCACAGAGGTACGTTTTTGTACATGTGCAGTGATTAACATTTAGAGGGCTTTTATTGTGCATTTAGCTACAGTCATTATGATGTTACATTTTACTTGGTAGTGTCAAAGTGATAAGGTCAAGTTTTAGCCAGTATAAATTTTTTAGGCGAGAGCTATTTAGTTCTCTTTTCCATTCATATTTATTGATTACTACCCTTCATTTATTACCCACTATGTAAACTACAGATTTGCACAGACATCCGATTGTTGGCCAGCTTTAAAGAGTTGGAAGAACCATTTGAAGCAGATCAAATTGGTAGGTAATACCTTGTTTTTTTGTCTTGCAACTTTTTTTTTTACCTATCTTATGTTGCCAGTTATCTTCTCTGGCTTGTCATTTTTATCTGGTTGCTTACCTGATCTGTCTTTGTTGTTGTTGCTTACCTGGCCTGTCTCATGTCTCAAAGGTTATTTCCTGTGACCAATCAGGTTTTCCAGCCTGTCTCCTACAGCTGTTACTATGCCCTCTCTATATTACTTATATCTCTAAATTATCTCTTCTGTTTTATTTCTCTTACCCTGTATTTTCTAGATAAAAGACTTATTTTTGTTAACATATTTTCTCACTATGTATGTTCTCTCTAGCAATAGTGTCCCTTTCATACCTCTTGATTCACAGGAATTTGGAAGACCACATGCGCTAGTTCAGTCTCTTTCAGCTGTCATCCTAAAAACATTCCCAGCCAGGGACCTGGGCAGCATAGATGATATTGACATTTCATTTAAAGTTGGGTGCATCTGCTTGGAAGACAAGGAACCATCAGTCTGCACACACATAAGCCAGATCTGGGATACAGATGTGCATGCAAAAATCAGTTCCTGAAAAGAGACACGTCTAGAAGTAGGCAGACAACCATGGCTTTCAGTTTGCAGCTGATGAACACAAAGAAGGAGACCCTAATTTGTTTAGTAAGATCACTGAGTTCCATCCTGTTACTTTGACAGTTCTAATTCATGTCTCTTACAGGTTCCAGTGCTATGCCATACAAGCGGAACCCGATGAGGAGCGAGCGTTGCTGCTCATTAGCTCGGTTGCTCATCAGTATGGTACAGAATCCTCTACAGACAGCTTCCGTGCAGTGGATGGAAAGAACCTTGGATGACAGTGCTAACAGGCGTGTAGTACTGGCTGAGTCATTCCTGGCTGCAGACGCAATTATAAACACACTGCAGAATGTTTTTGAGGGCTTGGTAGTGTACCCTAAGGTAATCATCAAACTAGTTGGATACCAAAGTTAGTTGCAGCACATTGCAGACTACCACCAGCTTTGTTCAGTAAAAAAAAAATATATATATTTAACTTAACAATGTGAAATTCTTCTGCAATCTCCCTTAAAAGGACTGTTGGCATGTTGTGTTGTGGTCGACAGCTAGTTTGTGATATTTGTCCCTTTCAGCATAACAGTGTAATTTCAGCAAATCTCTGATTAATCACTAATCTAGCAGTGTGCTTGTTGGGTCGCAGTGGGGGTTTTTTTTCCCTCAAAGTTGGACCATGGAACCCGCACTGGGATATGGGAGATGATTTCTTTGTCTTTTGTATCTTAATGCTTTAGCTGTCTGTAGAAGTTACATTTGTTTTGTTTCATGTATTCTTGTTCCCCCCTTTTGTTGTTGTTTTTCTTTGCTAGTGCCTAATTTATATTTTTAGTTAGATAATTATATGTCTTATAATTTCGTTTGCTTTGTTATGTCCATTTTGGTTTTGTTGCCATTGTATGTTATGTTTTCTGAGTTTTTGTAATGTGAGATGTTGAGTTAAGTAACATCATAGCACTCGAGACACGCCCATAAGCAAAAAGTTCAGTAACTGTCTGATTGTGTATTTTTCTCAGCTTTTCCTTGAGTGTCGAGCATAGGCCAGATCCACTGCTCCATTCTTCTCAGACTGTAATAGTCTGTGCCTCCTCACTGTTCACTCGCTCCCAAAAGGGCCTTCACAACATCTAGCTTGTCATACATCAGTGTGGAAGCTAGTATGTAACTTATTTTTCCAGAAGGCAGAATGTCACATTTGAAATTAAATTTGTCTTGAGTTTGATCAAGTTTGGTAGAGTTTGATCAAGTTTAGTAGAGTTTGATCAAGTTTGGTAGAGTTTGATATTTTGATCTTTCAGGTCATCGAGAGGAGACTGAATGATGAGCTTCCTTTTATGGCCAGCGAGAACATCATTATGGCTGTGGTGAAAGCAGGAGGCAACAGACAGGTCAGTTCTTTTTATTTACTATTTATATATACATAGCCTCTACTTAAATTAACTATTTATGTGGTTAGACATAGCCTCTAATTCTTACAGTCCATGTTGTGTAGTGTTGGTAATCATGCCTGTCCCCTATACTGCCAGTCGTTTCTAATATTTTTGTCTCTCTCTCCGCCTTTCTTAGTTTGCTGTCACGACATACTCCCATTTCCCCCATCTTTTGGTGTATTCCTCATTTAGCATTCATCATCATCATGTAGAAGGTCCTTTGCAGAACGTCGCTTTCATCACAGTCTGCCTGAAAGAAACTCGGTCTCTCACCAGTTCTCCCGCCTCATGCACTTTCACACTCAAGGAGTCACTTATATCCTTGCCCATCTTCGTGTCGGTCGGCCTCTGTCCCTCCTTCCTGGTACCATGCCTTCTATAATTTTTTTCCAATCCGTCCTGCTTGATATGACCAAAATATTTCAGCTTTCGAGAAAGGATGCTGTTTATTAGCCAATCTTCCTTGATGTTCAGATCTTTTAAGATGTCAATATTTCTCATCTTCTTTGTCCAAGATATTCTGAGAATCTTTCTATAGCATTTCAGCTCAAAAGCCCCTATTCTCTTTCTTAAGGACTGAGAGATAGTCCACAATTCGCATCTTTATGTAGCCACAGGGAAGATGCATGCTCTCAAAATTCTAATTTTTATCTCTTTGCTGGTGCTTAACCATAGACTTTTAAGGCTGTTCAATTCTTTTAGCATTCACTGGCTGTAAATTCCAGTGAAGAGTTCTAGTTGTTCATCCATTTCTTGACTTTGGTCTTGTTTGGTGTTGTTATTTTTGTTTTCTTATGCAGTCATCTGATGCTCTGTGTAGGTTTTCTTTCAGTTCGTCTTTGTTGCACTTTTTATGGCCATGGTGTTCTAATTATTTTTTTTTTATCACATCTCTTGTGACATTCACTAATTTCTGTCTAATCACCTGTCTATGTTTTACTTCCTTAAATCAGGAGGGTTTCTGTTTAACTCTTGAGAACTCTTTCTCACGTCAGTTGACAAAAGATATTTGTATGGAATCTCTCTTCATCCTGTGAAATGCAGCTTATGCCTAGACTTCTGTTCCACATATAACTTCTATAATACATCTTTCTACTATAGGAATGAGATTGCTTGTTCATAGGGTTTTCACAGTAGAAGGTTCTATTGTCTCTTGTGGAACTGGGAGCTCAACTGCTGAAGGTTTGATGTTTATGGTTATGTCTTGTAGGAAATCAGGTCATAAAATTGCTTTTTTTTTTCTGGTTCTTCTCCTCCTCCCCCTTCACTTCTACTTTTACCACTTCACACGTGAGGGTGAGGGTTTAGGCTCATTATCCCTCTTTGTCAAGCCATCACAAGTAATTCTGTCAATAGTGGGCAAACTGTTTAATTTCTGTTTAAAAAACCCAGTTCAGTATTGGATTTATACCGACCTTTACTTTTATGACATCATTCTAGAATATTCTCCTCTGGTCACTCCACAAGCCTTTCTCAGACATCTCCTCTCTGTGATTGTTTATTTTTTTTTTCTAAATTGTTGCGGCAATATCTGTAACTGCTAGAAATATACTTTTTTTATCATAGACAAAGAGTATGACACCATTAAAATTGTAAAGATTATCAGATCCATACGCCATTAACCTCAAAGTCTTTTGTCAATCTTCATATATGCATCTTTTACTGTGGAATTAGTTCATTATCCTAAACAGAAATTGAACATTCTGACCTAGTTTCACCTTCACTTGTTTCTACATCAGTTATGAATTGTGAATACCACTCAAATACCTATACATGAAATAAACATTCATCATTAAAAACTTGCTCTTTCAATTCATCTGTCTCACAGCATTTTTTAAATGCTCCAATACATCTTTTGTACACCATGGAACTGAACTGACAGATCTCACACAGGTATTGACCAGACTAAAAGGGACACATAACCTGCTGCTATAAATGTAGACATAGATGATCAAAAGCTGAGGAAGGCAAACACAGTGTACATATTTATTGATCCTGACACCCTCTACCATAGATCAGCTGAGACAGTGTATTATTGTCCTAATGCTGTAACATTTATTCTCAGGAATGCCATGAAAAAATTCGCAGTCTGGCAATTCAGAGTGCTTCTCTTATGAAGCATGAAGGCCTGCCATGCGACCTTTTGGACAGAATCAGGGCAGACGCATACTTTGCCTGCATTCTCGACAAACTGGCCAGCTGTTTGGAGCCGAGTACCTTTGTGGGCACATCAGTGTCTCAGGTAATCTGTCTCATGCTTTTAAAATGTTGGCCATGGCTATATGTTATATATTATTAAAGTCATGATACAGAACCAGTCATGATCTAGTCATCAGGGGTTTTCGTCGTCAGCCTTTTTCTCACATCGGAGTATAGGCACTCAACCATCTTGCTTGTCTTATGTTCTTTCTTCATCTTGCATTTTATGAAGATGACAGTAATTTGGAATTTGGCGTACTCTGACAAAGCAGTTTGTTGATTAAAAAAAGGCTTATGCTCTGCTTGGGGCTAAAGGCAGAAGACTTGTTGTACACAGTGATAGTTTGTTCTGATATGGCTCACCCTAATATTTTTAATTGTACACATACTTCCCCGGAAGTGTAATGCTTAGACCAGTTATTCCCAAACTGCACCTCGTGGAGCGGCGACCTTTTCATAGGTGCGTCGCGAAATATTAAAAGATACATGAGTTTTTTTTAAATCTTTTACATACGAATAGTCATACCTTTACTAAGGTTAGGGGGCCATGGGAAGATTTTAATTGAGAAAGGGGGCCGCAACTAAAACAAGTTTGGGAAACACTGGGCTAGATGCTCACCTAAACTTTTTAAGTTGAAAATCTGCAGTGGGCAGATATTTTTAAAAACATAACGTTGGTTCTCAAGTCGACCCTGCCTAATTTGGATACTAAGCAATATCCTATGAAGTAAGGCTGGCCGGTGTAATGTTGATCACATTAAACATTGAGTGCTGATTAATCTATATAAAAATTAGTTAAGCTTCATACAGGGTTCATGGTGGACCTGGAAAAAGTCGGGACAGCAAGATCCCCGACCACCACCACAGTAACAACACCTGGGATAGAGCCTACCCCTGTTGGCTTTAAAAGACTAGGCACTCTGCACTCGTAGGAAAATTGCAAGTGTGGATTATGAAAATGAACAACATCTGCATAGATAAGACTAGATAATTGATACATTATGCACTATAGGTAGATCTTTACTTGATGTTGTATAATAGTAACATTGTCCATGTTGTTACAGGTGGAGAGATTCATAACTACTGAGGTGACTCCAGTAATTGTGAAGTACGAGGCTAGCTTCACCAAGTCAGTAGCACTGGAGATCTAACCTGCAGTGAAGTGTCTCATCCTGGGTTATACCAAAGATCATGTCGGTGGTTAGCATGGAGGGAAACAGGATACCGCACAGTCCAGAATCGAAGGGGTGTGTTGTACTGGCTTCATGGCACACGGCCTAGTTCTGACTTTCTCTCAAATGCTGATGCTTGTGGTCCTGTCTATTATTGTGTTCTTGGATCTTTTTGAAAACTGCATATTTTTCAGGTGGTAAAATTATGTTCCATTATTTTACTTATTGTCCGTGTGTGTATGTGGCACTGACAGTGTAAAGTATATTAATGAAGTAACAGAAAATGTATTGATCGGCACTTATAGAAAGAAGTAGAAAGATACAAGATCACACTAGATAATATTAAAATTGAAAGCTAAAGTTACCTTGCCGGGAATTGAACCTGTCACCTCCATACGGCGTGTGCGCCTAGCTGTGGAAACAAGTGCACTAAGAACTTGGTCAGCTAGCCCCCCCCCCCCCCCCCCCCCCCTTCCCCCCTAAGGTGTCTTATTGGCCATGTCTGTAATACAGTTTGAAATCCACACCTGTGGAATGTGGACAGAATTCATTTCAAACTATTGAAATGGCACCATAGGTTACATAAATTTATTTTAACCAAGCATATGTCAAATAACAAGCAAAGCAACAATTTCCAAACACAGTAGACCCTAATGCTTTGTCTAGAATACACAAACATTTATGAAAGGTGTTTGATTGGTAGGTTTATTTATGGGTATGATAGTATGAAGTAAGACAAAGGTACTATTAACCGTTTGCTGTTTTTTCCTGGAAAGGAGACCTTGGGTGTCTAAGCTGTAGGTTTTGTTGATAGGTTAAATCATGTGCATTCTGGACGCTAACTTCTCTCTCTCTCTTTCAAGTGCAGTGTTCTGTTAAAGATTTTTTCAAAGTATTTGAATTCCTGTAATTGTTTGATTGTTGTAGGTTTTCATGAAATACTTGATGAAGTGAAGATACCTGCTGATTGTGAAAAAGTTTATTGATGTAGGTTTTGATGAAGTGAAGATACCTGCTGATTGTGAAACAGTTGATTGTTGTAGGATTTGATGAAGTGAAGATACCTGCTGATTGTGAAAAAGTTGATTGTTGTACTTGTGCAGTTTTTTTGTTGGTGACAGTTTTTTATCTAACCAGAGGATTCAACAGACAAAGTTTATTTGGTCATCTGCTGTTTTCATATTATGCAGCTGTGCTGTTTGTTGATGGCTATTCACACAAGCTTAGTGGACCACGTGATTTCATGTTCTTCTCTTTCTTTCATAATATTTTACCATGGTGAATTTTGTAATTGATTATCATTTTGTATATTTTATATATTTTGTCATTGATTTATGCAATAGCCGCCCATTGTTACATCAGCCAGAACAGAATGGGAGTTGTAAGCCTTAAAACACTTGAAGACATACTCAGGGGAAGATTGGAGCACTTATGGTCATGTCCGAAGCACAATGAAGATGATTTTGAAAATGAACAGTGATTACTCGGATCCTTTCATTTCTGTTGTTGCTCTTTCAGTTTGATATCTACATATTACATGGGAGCATTTGATGATAGAAGTCAAATGACATGAGCCAGAACCTGCCTAAAGCAATTAGTCAGAATAAAATAAGTTAAAACACTCACTGCAGCACCTCAGATAACATGGGAGCCACAATAGTGCAATGACCAGATTCTTTGCTACCTGACTGAAAAGTCTAGGGTTTGATTCACATTAGATGGATTATTTTAACAATAACTTTGGCTCCCAGGTCAACATGGTCTAAAATAGTTACTGGGAAATGTCATCATTTGGCGATACTTTGTGGTGCCAAACTAAGGCAGGTGCTAGAAATGATGCCAGCCATTGAAGATAAAGCATCTGCTTCTTCTTTGCTTTCACCAGCTGTAAACTCTTGTGGAAAGTTCTGGCTGTTCATCCACTTCTAGACTGTGGTCTTGTTCCAGAACTAGGATTTTGCATGCACATTTGTTTTACTGATCTAGATTATTTTTATGCAGACTGTTAGTTCCTCACCTCTCAAGCAGATATAGTTTACCTCAAAGGAATTGTCCCTGATTAGTTACCTCCAATGACATGCTTTAAGGGGTGACAGTGGGTTTTCTCCACCCTCCCCAAATGGGGCCTCTAGAACCCACACAGGATGAACATCTGTCCAACTAAAGACAAATTCTTCAAGCATATGTCATTATAAAGTCGACTTACAAACCAGTGCATGGCTGTTAACTCCATGGAGAGAGTAATCAACGAAATGGCCTATCTCTAACCTAACCGCATAGAGGATAAGACTGTCTGGGAACAGCATTTCGCTGACTTTGCATTTCTTAGATATGTTGGGTTTTTTTTATTATTATTTTTCAAATGCTTGGTGTGTAAATAAACATTATTAGTGAAGTACTTATTCATAATGCATTGTTCTCGTAGAATTGTATTGCTTTAAAGTGTGTTTGCTGTCGCATTGTTTTTGTTGAAATGTGATAATATCCCAGACAGGATCATACAAAACCCTTGAAGTGTTTTCTAGTTAGTTGCCCCTATAACTACCTCATTTGGCTGTATGTGATGGCTGTTTTCATGAAATTGTTTGTATATGAGAAAAAGGCGTAGTAGAGTATCTGTACCATTTTGCCTAATTATATTGTTTGTAATTAACAACAGATTAATAGCAGTGTGTTCATTGGTTGATACTAAAATTATCATTGCATATGGAATGCGCTTATGTGCTCACTATCTCTCTGCAGATGTTGATATGTAGGAAACCCATTTGTTTCTACAGCACATATTATGGATATGCCTAGCACAATGTCCCCAGCCATGCTAGCACAATGTCCTCAGCCATGCTAGCACAATGTCCTCAGCCATGCTAGCACAATGTCCCCAGCCATGCTAGCACAATGTCCCCAGCCATGCTAGCACAATGTCCCCAGCCATGCTAGCACAATGGTTCTTATTTGCCTGCTGGGCTGAAGTTGTTGTGCTTGAATCTGCATCAAGGCAGTTTTAATAATTGACCTGGACTGTCAGGTCAGCACCCCTGTAAAAATTGGTGCCAGGGAATATCTTTGGAAGTAAAGATAGTCATAGTGGCACTGCCATAAGGTGTCGATTGGTCTGTACAAATGTGGGTGACTATAGCTCCCAAGTGAGTTCATGCAGATAAGATTCATCAGTCTCAGTGTTGATCTGTAGCGACCTCTCATATCTTCTCGGCCATCTGACCTCTTGAACATTGTTGCAGATATCACCCGCCTTGATTCATCTCTGTTATTGGCCCTCTTATTCCATTTGGTAACTCCAACTGTTTGTAATCTGCCTCTCTATATATTCTTTCCATGGTCTTCTGTGTGGTGCACTGTTTAATGTTGACACATAAATATTTGATCTGTGCCTCTTTTATCAGCCTGCCAACCCTGACACTGCTTATAAACCGATAGGGAGGGAGATTTTTTTAATCTGTCAGGTAAGTAATAATATTTTCAGCTTCACGGCAGATGGGTCACCCCATGGTTGCTCTGTTCTTGTGCCAATGTTGTTGTTATTATTGATCCAGCGGCGCATGAGCTTTCCCCCTTTTGCCCAATGCCGTGTAGTGGAATTTACATGTCTTCACAAGCTGTTCTTGTCCTCAATAAAAGGTGTTCCACCTGTCTGGTCTTGGAGGGAGTAGCATTCTTCTAGTCTCGTTCAGTTTTGGGCACTCAAAGAGATGATGGTCAACAGTTTCATAGGGGTAGTTACATAGCTGGCACTCTGCCAATGAAAGCATACATAATACACATTCTTTGTCTATTTAAAAAAATGACAGACTACAGTCTCGGCAACACAAATAGCATTCATATACTATTACTACTTTTCTCTACTTCTGGAATGCCTTACAGCATCAGCGCATGAAGAGATCTCTGGAAGGGGCCCTTCTGTCCGCTTCATATAAAATACTTGTCAGTGTCTCTGATATTTAGCATAAACAGCCTACATATGTATTAAATGCATAAAGCAGCCACTAGAGGTGCCAACATAAACAGTCCAGCACTAAAATTTACCACATGCTGCATTTGGCTGCTTAGCCTCACTTCCATGTACACGGCCTACTGCTTATCCTAACCTGTGCCTTTAAAGACCAGCAGGATTCAGTTCGTGGACTTCCATGTCCAGAACAGGTTTATCTCAAGAACAGTACTACTGGGGGTCTCTGTGGCAAAGATGTTCAGCTGTTAGTTTCAACTGTGTTTGCTGGTTCAGTCTGAGACTTCATTTCTTGGTCATGTAAAGTAGAGGACCCTTTTCCATGCCTTCAGGCATATAGGGCTAGATCTGTATTTTATAGACCAATCAGAACCTGGATGATGTGGTCAGCGCCATGCCAGCTGCCTTTACTTCCCAGGCCTTGTACCTATTACCCACTCAAGGCTGGGTCGACCTGGGAGCCAGTGTCATTTTTAATAAAAAGTCCATCTTCGTCAGGGCCTGAACCCACGACCTTCCGATTTGCAGGCGAGCGTCCAGCCGCTACACCACGGTGACTCCCTGCCTTCATCATGAATGCAGGTTTATCAAAGAACTATAAGGATTGTTGCTGGAGCAATGAAGTTTGTGTTGTATGTGGTGCTCTCGCGTGTCACTAGCTGCTCTACTGAGAGATATCATTGAAGTGAACTTTTATCTTCAGAAACATCCTGCATGGTACACATGTGTTTGTTCCCAGGATTCATGTTTTCTGCTACGGTGATCGTGAATAACAGGGTGCTAAGCTGCATGTTTTCCTTTAATAGTGAGGTCTGAGGATGTTGAATGTACGAAGAGTAAAGATTTCTTACATGTGTATTAACTATGTGAGCAGAAGAATTTACAAAGAAGAGTTAACTCTCTCACCCCGAGAAGGCTAAATGTAGTCACTTCTGGTTGTGACACAGCCCTGCAAATAGCATTATATCACCATTTCTGCAGCGAGATATTCTGTCAAGTCATTCAATACCACTGG